CTGGTTTCAGCTGGGATAGAGTTAACTGTCTTCCTAGTAGCTGGTACAGTGCTATGTGTTGAGTTCAGTATCTGAAGAATGTTGATAACACTGATGTTTTCAGTTGTTGCTCAGTAGTGTTTACACTATAGTCAAGGTTTTTTTCAGCTTCTCATGCCCAGCCAGGGCACCTGACCCAAACTGGCCAACGGTGTATTCCATACCATGTGACATCCCATCTAGTTTAGGAACTGGGAAGGGGGGGCAGGGATTCGCCGCTCAGGGACTGGCTGGGTGTCGGTCGGAGGGTGGTGAGCAATTGCCCTGCGCATCATTTGTACATTTCAATCCTTTTATTACTACTGTTGTCATTTTATTAGTGTTATCATTATCATTATTAGTTTCTTCCTCTCTGTTCTATTAAACCGTTCTTATCTCAACCCAAAAGTTTTACTTCTTTTCCTGATTTTCTCCCCCATCCCACTGGATGGGGGGGAGTGAGTGAGCGGCTGTGTGGTGCTTAGTTGCTGGCTGGGGTTAAACCACAACAAGGGGGCATCAAAGGGATGTGATTGGGACTGGGGTTGTCCAGGGTGGATAGTCATGGGGGTTTGGGGACATGACAGTGACAACAGAGCCCAGGGAATGCTCAGGGCAGGTTTGGGGACACAGCAGGGACAGCAGAGCCCAGGGGAAGCTCAGGGCCATGTTTGGGGACACAACAGGGAGAGTGGAGCCCAGGGAATGCTCAGGGCCACGTTTGGGGACACTATGGGAACAGCGGAGCCCAGGGGACACTTAGGGCCACATTTGGTGACACAACAGGGACAGCAGAGCCCAGGGGATGCTCAGAGCATGTTTGGGGACACCATGGGGACATTGGCAGGTCACTCACATCACAGCTGAGCTCGTTGTCATTGGTGACAGTCAGGTCGGCCAGGTCTCCCAGGCTGACGGCACCACCACCAATGCTGTCCATGATGAAGACGTCGGAGGAGATACCCAGAGACCCTGTGGAGGGGAACAGCTGGGGGCAGCCCTGGGGAACGAGGGCACCTCCAGGGAACACAAGGACCACCCCAGGGGGATGGGGACCCCCAGGACCATACCTTCATGAGGCCGCGGTGGCCCTGCAGTGGCAGGTTTCGGTGGGAGCCCGTCCACATCCCGCAGGTCGGCCAGCATCCCCTGCAGCCGGCCCCGGCGGCTCTCTGCTGGGACACGGGGGTCAGGAGGTTCCGTGTCAAAGTCGGGGGTGGGGGGGTCAAGGGGCATCCACCCAAATCCACTACTCCCCCCGCACCGCCCCCCAGCAGTATTCACCGAGCTCCACACCCTCCCCGGTCCGCTGCCTAGCGCCATTCTCCCCAGAGCCCAGGAAATCGAACTCGTTGAGGGCATCCTCTGAGTCTTCATCATCATCCTCATCCTCCACCTCAGGCAGAAGGGGTTTGGGGGTGAGCTGAGGAAAGGAGGAACAGGGGGGGTGTCACAGCCTGTTTTGGGGTGGACCCCCAAAGCCACCAGGAGACAAGATGGTGGAAACAGGGGGTACAAGTGCTGCTCCCTGCAGCCACTGGGTTTGTGGGATCCCCCTGGGATTTGGGGAATGCCCGGTTTGGGGAATGCCCGGTTTGGGGGACCCCCCCAGCTTTGGCGGATGCCTCAGATTTAGGGGACGCACCCCCCCCTCCAAGTCTAGGGGACACCCAGGTTTGGCAGACACACCTCCTCCCAGCTTTGGGGGACCCCCAGATTTGAGGGACACCCCTGAGGTTTGAGGGAGCCCTCCAGGTTTGGGAGACTCCTCCCCAGGTTCGGGGGGATCCCAGATTTAAGGGACACCCTCCCCCCCACCAGGTTTGGGGCATGCTGAGGTTTAGGGGATCCCCACCCTTGGGGAGCACCTCAGGTTTGGGGCATGTCCAGTTTGTGGAATGCCTCAAGTTTGGGGGACCCCCCCAGGTATGGGGGATGCCTCAGATTTAGGGAGCATCCCTCCCCAGGTCTAGAGGACACCTAGGTTTGGGACCCACCCCACTCCCCCAGCTTTGGGGGTGCCCAGGTTTGATGGACACCCAACTTTGGGGGACACCCCCACAGATTTTTGGGGAGCTGCTTACCTTGACTCGCTGCTTCTTGTGCTGGGGCTGGGTGGAGGGAGGAAGGGTCTCAGCATCCTCATCCTCGTCACTGTCCTCATCCTCACCACTGGGCGGAAAGGGGACCTGCTCCAGGCACCCCCCGCCCCCCCGCTCCTCCGTCTCCTTCCCAGCATTCCTGAGGATGGGAAACACCCATGTTAAGTTGCAGGGGGGGGCCCAGTGAAGCCCCCAAAACACCCCATACCTTCCTCCCCCCACTCCTTACCTCTGGATCTGCTCCTCGATCCGCCGCACCAGGAGGGAGTCTGCGGTTGGGGGGCTTCCAGGAGCCGGGGAGGTCGGGGGACCGCGACCCAGCAGTGAGCGAACCCGGCGCGACCGCATGTCCAGGATGGTGTCACTGTACCCCACTTCTTCCAGGTACCTGGCGGGGGGGGGAAACACACGGAAAGGGTGTGCTCAGGACACCCCAAAACCTACTGCCCCCCCTCCTCTGCTGTTGTAGGCCCCCGCTCCACTCACTGCCGCAGCAGCTGCCGTCCCTCCTTCCAGGCCAGTGGGCCACCCTCCAACGATGTCACCTCCGTGGGGCCGTTGGACACTGTGGGATGGGGGGCACATTTTGGGGGTCAGACACCCCAAAACCCACGTTTCACCCCCCCTCACCAGGGACAGGCACACTCACCCGGCTCTGTCCCCTCTGGTTTCTTCTCCCCTGGTGTCAGCTCGGTGCCGAATTTTAGCTTGTGGTACTTGGACCTGGAAGGAAGAGGAGGTGGGGGACAGGTGACAGTGGCCCCAAAACGACGGGGGGTTGGTGGCTCCCCCGACAGGAGGAGGGGATGGTGACGCCCAAAATGAGCAGGGGGACCACTGAGTTTTGGGGTGTCACCCACCTCTCCTGTTTCAGGGCATATTCCAGCATCTTGATGCGGCGCACCAGGTCCGTCTTGAGGTTCTCCTGCCCCTTGCGCTCACCCTGCAGAAAGGCCACCTGCGCCTGCGGGGACACGGCAGGGACACAGTGACAGGGGACCCCTCCCAGCCACCACTGCCCCCCCCCCAATAACACCCCACTCCCACAATGCAAAAGCTAGGGGACAAGGGGGTGGGGAGGGCTGCAGGGAGGACATCATGTTTGGAGGGGCATGAAGGGTGGGTGACACAGGGACAAGTGGCACCAGCCCACCGGGACAGGAGGTGGCACTGACACCTGCCTAGGGAGTGACATGGATGGCCCTCAGGCTTGGTGACAGTCCTGGGAGGGACACCGCTGGCCCCAGGTGTGACACTGGTGGCTCCAGAACTCGGTGCCTGTCCTGGGAGGGACATTTGAGGTCCCAGGAGTGGCACCAGTGGCCCCAGAGCACAGTGACTGTCCTGGGAGGGACACCGGTGGCCCAAGGAGTGACACCGGTGGCCCCACAGCTCAGTGCCAGTCCTGGGAGGGACAATGGTGTCCCCAGGGCTTGGTGACAGCCCTGGGAGGGACATAGGACACTGGTGGCCCCACTAGTGACACCAGTGGCCCCAGGACCAGTGCCATAAGCTGGGGGCTCGGTGACAGGGGTGGGGGGGTCCCCAGAAGCAGGGCAGGGGGACGCAGCCAGTGCTCTGAGATGGGGTGACCCCATCCCTGTTATTGGGGCTGGTGGTCCCCAATACTGGGGTGCAGGGGGGGTCCCTGATACCAGGGCATGGGGATCCTTGATACACGGGCACAGGGGAGCCATTGAAGTGAAGCAGGGGATCCCCAATACTGGGGCTGAGGGTCCCCTATACTGGGATGCAGCGGGTCCCCAATCCTGAGGCTAGGGGGTCCCTCATACCGGAACTGAGGGTCCCCAATTCCAAGGCAGGGCGTCCCTGATACCAGGGGGGGGGACCCCAGTACTGGGGCTGGGCTTCCCCAGTAGTAAGGTGCAGGAGAGGTCACCCATACTGGGGTGGGGGGATCCTCAATACCAAAGCCTGGGGTGGGGGGATCCTCAATACCAAAGCCTGGGGTGGGGCCCAATACCGGGGTGGGGGATCCCCAATAAGAGGGTGGGGTACACCCTCATACTGGGGTGGGGGGATCCCCAATACCGGGGTGGGGGTGACCCTCACACCAGGGTGGGGGGTCCCCAACAACAGGGCAGGGGGACCCTCACAGGGGGGTGGGGATCCCCAATACTGGAGGGGGGGTCCCTAATAACAGGGCAGGGGGACACTCAC